TCCTCTGTCTGGATCTCGCCATCTCAGCACAGGAAGTCTTGTTTCAGAGTCAAAGAACAGACTTTGCACAATAAAGAGATACGCAATCAGCAGGAAAAACTGCTTCGTCTGCAATTAGTGTTAGGTCAGAGTTGTGATTAATCCCAGCTCTGTGTGTGTGTGTGTGTGTGTGTGTGTGTCTGTGTGTGTGTGTGGGGGGGGGGGGGGGGGGATTGTTGGTAGGGATTGATCTCACCTCTCGGACAATTTGCAGGGAAGGGGAAGAAATCGCCAGGTGTGTTCAAAATTGCACCATTGGGAGCCCAGCCATGATGGGTGGAGGGGGGGGGGGGGGGGGGCTTTATTTTTAGCCCTGTTTGCGCCATTCTCTAAAAACAAGACCACAGACACTATGGAGCGGATACGGCTACAATGTAGCATTAGCTACAAAGAGCCAAAGCAAATTATGCAACAAAGTGCCATGTAGATCTGCATGTGGAATGCGATATAATATAATGCATATTAATATGAGCAATGACACGTCTCACATGACGCTGTGGCTCGTCTTGTGTCCACCTCTCTGCAGCTGTTCACAGAAGCACTTCCTGGACCAGGGTCTCCACAAAGGAAATATTATTCCTCTAAATTATGCGGAATTTACCTATTTGCATACTAATAACTGCCCTGCTGAACCACTTTGTAGTGGCCTCTTTTCAGGGTGGAGGCTTTTGTGTGTGTGTGTTTGTGTGTGTGTGTGTGGGGGTGGGGGGGGTCATTGTGGGACGATGATCACATTAAATGTCTCTGTCTCTGCTGACGCAGCATCGTGGACTCGGGTCGGTGCCACATGTGCACGTCCAATAAAAGAACGTTCAGCTTTTCTGTCTACGAACAATCAACACAAAACCTTCTCCACCGTCAGCTAATTTAGTGCTCTTCAATATAATGAGCATAAAGACGAGACTCAATCGGAAAAATGAGCTTTCCTTAATGACAATTTATTGCAAACATACAACGAGATGTTTCTACATAAATTGACAGGGGAGATGACAAGGCGTTAGGGGGACGGGGGCTGGATGTGAAATTTGAGTGGAGGGTAAAAACTCATTATGGAAATGTTGCTGTGAGCGTTTGTGTCTTTTAGCACTAGAATGGATTGTGCTCATCACAGTGTATTTTCCTTCCAGACGATGGCAACCCAATTACTGGGTAGCGGGGTGTTGCTTTCCCCTTTTGCAGCTCGAAGCATCAATAAGGGCTGAGCACGATGCTAATAACTTAGATTGAACAGCATCCTGTGATGACCTGTGATGACCTGTGATGACCTGTGATGACCTGGTACGACCGGTCGCTTGAGGCTCCTGACGTCAAACACCTGAATTAAAAGACGTTGGCAAAGCACGTCCTCTTTCTGGTCCTAACAGCGTGTTCCATGATGAGGACACTAAATAAATGACAAGTCTATCACACACTCGTCACTTTCTGTTAGCTGGTGCGCTTTATTTTTAATTTTTAAACATTTTAACTTTAACACTTATTCCTTTATTTTAAACTAACCCATAGCATTATATTTCATTTTATTCCTTGTGCGCTGTTGTCTTGTCGTCCATTGCCGTACTGTCTGCTGTTACGCCCCAACCGCTAAGTCAAATGTGTGCAACCGGTTACAGTCAAATATCACCGGGGTAGCATGTGTTCTTCTCAAATGGCTACCCCCCCACCCCCCCTGATTAGGAGAGAATGAACCCACATTCTCGCTCAGGCCATAAGACATCCGGGGTTGCATTCAAACACAGGGCTTCCCAGACTTTGATCCCAGCAACGCCCCCAAATAAGCATTTTGTTCAGGAAAGTGATACAACAGAAGGTGTGACGGTTCTAAAAAGAGGGTCAACGTTATATGAAGTAGTTTATTCTCTGCGACCGTGCGATTGCTCCTCAGCCTCATCCAGTTTTAATGTTTCTGCCGTTTCATGAGCAGGTGATATGAAATGTTAGTGGACTTGGTCTTGTGGTCCAGGAGCCGGCTTCCTGCTCTGCATACTGATCAGCAACGCTGCAGCTCCTGCTTTCACTCTCCTCATTAAAACAATGGAGAGAGAGAGAGAATCACAGGTGAAAGAGTATTGAGACCCAGTGCACAGGAGGTGCAGATAGGGGGAAGGAGGGGGGGGGAGGGTTAATTGAACAGAACGCCGGTGCTGCTGCAGCGCTTGAAATCAGCTGTCAGGTTCCTGAGCCTCACAGCCAGATCCAGGGAGGAAAACAGCGAGGGAGACGTGGAGGGAGATATCGGGGGAACTTAAAGGTCAGAACACAATGAGTTCCCATCAAAGGGTGGGGGCAAGTGCTCGCATCCACCAGCCTATCTTCATTTGATGCTGCAGGCCACCAGTGCCCTTCCGCAGGCCGCTTTCCCCCAGCAGGGAAGTGTGCGAGCCGCACGGCCTCCCAGAATGCAATTCAGACAGCCGAAGCATGAGCCGCATACTCAAAGCATTCAGCTTGTGTGGGATGTGGGGGGGGTCCAAGTTTTCAAATAATGGTCCAGTTAAAAATGGAGTTTGACTAGTTTGACTGGTGCAGGAGCGGCGTTCGCCAACAGGAGGTATGAACAATGAGCCTCGATGACTCAGATTGATGTAGCAGGAAATCCGCCTCATGTTCATTGTCATCTGTCCTAAGGGTTAATTACACAGCCCCTATATGTGTTTATTACACAGGACTTATAGATGTTTATTACACAGCCCCTATATGTGTTAATTACACAGACTTATAGATGTTTATTACACAGCCCCTATATGTGTTTATTACACAGACTTATAGATGTTTATTACACAGCCCCTATATGTGTTTATTACACAGACTTATAGATGTTTATTACACAGCCCCTATATGTGTTTATTACACAGACTTATAGATGTTTATTACACAGCCCCTATATGTTAATTACACAGACTTATAGATGTTTATTACACAGCCCCTATGTGTTAATTACACAGACTTATATGTTTATTACACAGCCCCTATATGTTAATTACACAGACTTATAGATGTTTATTACACAGCCCCTATATGTGTTTATTACACAGACTTATAGATGTTTATTACACAGCCCCTATGTGTTTATTACACAGCTTATAGATGTTTATTACACAGCCCCTATATGTGTTTATTACATAGACGTATATATGTTTATTACAGCCTTATGGATGTTTAATACACAGCCCCCAGAGGTGTTTATTACACAGCTTATAGATGTTTATTACACAGCCCCTATAAGCAGGGCTGTAGTGGAGGGTAAACGTACGTAAACGCCGTTTACGCACATCTAGAATTTTGGAAATAGCATTTACGCACCTATAAATAGCGTTTACGCACCTCTAAATAGCGTTTACGCACCTCAAAGTTCCCTGCGCCTTGTATTCTTCCGTTGGAATAATCCGAAATAAACTTGGTGTAATTTTAAAACAGCTAAGATTACTTTTCCTATTGTTGAACATATAGCAGAAACACCAGATCCAATAGAGAGAGGAGAAGCACAGAGGAACACGTGTTCTGGGGTTCATGGCTCCTCTGTGCAAGGCAGGACCTGACGTGGAGGACAAGGAGGCCCTCTGGGCACTACTGTGAAAAGGAGACTCCATATGTAGATAGTTCTTAATCTGCAATTGTCTTGTTGTGTTGTGTTGACATACTTTTCTTTACTGTTTTCTTAAATTTAACAAACTACAAACTACTAACACATGTATTCATTGTCATTGATTGTATATGACTTTTACTGATAACATAATGCAATATAGCCATTTGTGTTGCGTTGCTTCTCATCGCGTCGAGGTCTGTATGATCACAAAATTCAGAATTTACCCACCTCTAATTTTACCACTACAGCACTGCCTATATGTGTTTATTACACAGCCCCCAGAGGTGTTTATTACACAGCCCCTATAGGCGTTTATTCTGCAGCCGATCTTGGTATTAATTCCGCAGCTACCTCAGGATTTCAATGCAGCAGCTGCACAAGGTGAATGTAATTTTAGTATGTAGTACAACCCTATTTATTTGTGAATTGAATGTGGGTTTTTTATATATATATATATATATATACATATATAAACCCATATATATATGTATACAGATAACACATGACTTGTCTGAGTGTGTAAGAGTGTGTAATTTGGTGTAAATGTTTCCTCTTTCCTTCCCCTCATCCTCACACACGCACTCAAACATCAGTCAGCTGACCTTCTTCGACTGGTTCTTGCGCATGTCGGCACTTCCTCTTTCATATTAAAAGCTGGTTTTTGCGGCTCCTCTTTGCATTTTGAGAGCAACACAAGAGAAATGCTGTCAGGCTTGTGCGTATGGCGCTGTGATGGGGAGCAAGGACTCCTCTCTGCTGGCAACCGTTTTAACAGCTAAAGGTCCGTGGTAATGCATCTAGTCATTCTGTGAGGTGGTGGCATTGGAAGCCTTGATTCAGAAATGCAAATGTGTCTCATTGGAGAGCGTTGGAAGGGGGATTTGTTAGCCTGTCATCTGAAGGTTCACAAGATCATCGGAGACTAAATAGTCTTTGAACGGGCGCTGGGGACTGTGAAAGATCAGATACGGCGTCTTGAGACAGGAACAAGGCGCCATGAAACCAGCTCCAGTTAGTCATAAAAGGCTCTATTGATATTTACAGACGGAAGTGAGTAACGTGGTAACGTGGGCCGATCAGAGGGTTGGCGGTTCGATCCCAGGCCCGGCTGACCCGCATGTCCATGTGTCCTTGGGCAAGACACTTAACCCACATGGCTCCTGTAGCTGCGATGACAGTGTGAATGTTGGTCTGAGTCTGGTTCTCCTGTCATCAGTGTGTGAAAGGGTGAATGATGTCAGGTAGTTTTAAAGCGCTTTGAGTGGTCAGAAGACTAGAAACACGCTCTACACTCCATTTACTTTACTCTCATGAATGTGAAGTGTGATCGACTGGGTTCAAACAACCATTAATATCTGCTCCATGAAAATACAGGAAATCATGCAAATATAACACTTTATTTCATTTATCATGAGGGACATTTCTTTTATACCTTGAGTTCTGATAATAATTACAAGTCGTCATTGCACACTCCCGCCCACTTACAGAAAAGTCTTGGCCCCCCACCCCCACCCCCCCACACGTGCCCCCCCCCCCCACCAGAGAAACACATAGAGATAACAGGCTCAGTAGAAAAACAGTCACTTGTTCCTACGGTTTGTACAAAATTCACAGATTTTTCTTGTTTGTTTGCCTCCTTTGTTTAGTTTACACATTTCCTGTCCGACGGGGAACCAAACTGCTGTAAAACACACCAGGAATAGATCAGAGTACACAAGGTGAACACAAACCGGCTGTTACAACACAGTGTGTGTGTGGGAGGGGGGGGGTTGCAGTACAGGGGAGACAAACGATGTCCACGTTTCGCCTCATTGTCTGAATTTCATCCATCGTCATGCATGTCACACCACGTTGTCACGGTTACCCTCCGATCGGTCGCTTCGCATTACAACCTCAACTCGTGATATCCGGCACGTTCATTAGAGGAGACGTGTGGATTCATCATGTCCAGGTAAGTTCGAAGATTTGGGGAATTTGCTGCTGTTGTGGTTGTCAGTAAACAACACATAAACATGTGTTGTTATATAATATGTATATATAATATAATATGTGTATGTAATATATTCATAAACACATCTCCTCATCATTACTCACACTCATGTTTGGCTGAAGGAGCCACATTAAAATAAAACGCTGATCAAATAAATAATAAAGATTGGCAGTTTTATTGTTTAAACAATAAAAATGATTTATGTATTGAACCTTTTTGATGTAAGAGGTGTTTTCTAATTTTTCAAAAAGGTACGATTATTTTCATGAAATGGAGTAAAACACGAATCCCTCGTCTTGGCGCTAATGACTGTAAACGATTTTAAATCAACATCCCACTAATGGTCCCTGGAGGCTGCCGTGCTCATCAGACTGAACCGCAGGAAATGAATCGTCTTTGGTGCTTTCATATTCCTTCAGTTGGTCCCGTGAATACCAAGATGGAGCGATTGCCATTGAGTTCATAGGACCTCCATTATTTTAATCTGAGCGTGTTTGTTACGCTACCATATTTAGTATTTTTGGGCAGAAATGTTGTGGCTATGATGCGGAAAGGAGGAAAGGGCTTCATCTTCAGGGGTTCTTGGGCAACGTAACCGGTCATGGTTACATTTGACTTCTTGTTACTTGTTTCCTGATGTCAAAGAAAGGACTGAGGAGGAATTTTTCTTCTTCTATTTTCTCCGGCTCTCCAGTACAAAGTCACAACCAGGTCACCTTGTGTGTTAGACAGGAAACTCTCCCGTGTAATTACGAACAGGCCAATTAAAGTGAATACAAAGGGCACATCATTAAGGTGATGTGCAAGTAATAGCACACACACGCACAACCCACAGACACACACACACCAACATGGTCTCCACTAGTTACTTCTTTCAGTCTTTTCCAGTCGCATTAGATCTAAACTAGAGATTGAAACCGTAAACATGAGTTTATGAAGTTTATGAACTTCAGCTCCTCAGAAACTTCTCCAGCAGAGATTGACTAACCACATCCGTGCTAATTACCACAGTAAACATCTGCTGCCATGCATAACTATGAAACGTACATTCAGAAAGTAGACATTTTAAATATTAGATTGGTTTACGAGCACCAAGAGTGCGCTGGCGGCTTTTTGCCTCTTCCCACTGTTGGAGATGAAGGAGCAGAAATGGAGGGCAAAGCCAACAAGAGAGGAAATGAGGGGCACGGGGGACGTCCGTCTCCATCACTGGAGAGGAGGAAGTGGCTGGCAGGGACGAACGTTCTGTGTTTTTTGGCTTCTTTTGCAAATGATCACTTCTGAGAGACTATTGTTGGCCACTAATTGAGACGGGAATGATCTCTCGCTAGCGTGAGAACATGGGGTCGATTCAGAGGCCCATTCGGAGTCCACCAGCGTGCCACCTGGGGCCGTCGCCATGGCAGCAGCTGGAGATGTGGGCTGAGAGGATGATTAGGATTCTGGGATTAAGGTCGTACGACGGCTCATGGAGCGAATTTGTGTGATAGCGCTCTGAGAAGTCTTTAAGCGCTTTCTTCTCAGAAGAGTCTACTGTAACTATGGAGACACAAATCACCTAACAAGGTTGCGTGAAAAAAAACGTCAGGTTATGAAGACGTCTATATTGCAAATTGAGTATGGGAACACTGGGTCACATCTGTGCGCTGGGGAGAATAATAATGAGTAAATCTTCTAGAGATCCATTTTGCTGCAGGCCGAGTCATAAATGGAACCTGTCATTTATTCTTTGTGCTGAGATTCACTCGCTGAAAGTACTATTGGATGAAAAGTTCATGATTGCGTTCGTCTTATAGACTCAATATTTCAGCTATCCAACCATCACCCTGTGCAGCAAACAGATGAAAAAATGAAATCTCCCCCTCCGTCTCTGCTGCATGTGGACAGCGATGAGCTGTTGGTACCAAACACGTTTTAGCACCATCGCACATGTGACCTCACGCTGTCGGAGGCAGAGGGACCAGCTGATGGAGCTGATGACCCAAACAGAAGGCCACCTTACTCTGACGCTTGATAGCCAGCAGCGGTGAAAGGCTTGCGTGTTGTGCTCTTCTCTTCATCTCGTCTCTCGATGTCAATGCAGAACGTCTCGTCAATAAAAAGGAACTTGACCCAACGGGTTAGAACTGATATTGGCAACGTCTGATTTACATTTTACATTTAAGGTACCTTCAGAAGATATCAATGTCTTCTTAACTGCAACTCATAGAAAACTTTGTTAGGATCCAATACTTGGAATAATAAACTGAACATGAACAACATCTTTCTGATACAGGACGTCAGGTGGAGCGTCTTCTGTATCGTGTTTGGAAGACGCCAGTCGGCTATTTTGCCCCCGGCCCTTAACAACCTCCATTGATGAATCGGCCCGCGGTCCCCATCTCTCTCTCTGATCTGAGAGGAAGCGTGCAGGTGTTGAGCTGAGAGCGCTAGCGGTGTTTTATGCCGATTTCTTTCTAAAGTTTACATTTTGTACGGCGTTGTGGGAATGTGCACATTGACTGTATCTGCAGTCTTTCAGAGTTTGCAGGACGGCGTGCTGCTGCAAGTAAAGTCCAACAGGTAGGGCAGGTGTGTGGGCAGGGGACAAGTGAAGTCCAACAGGTAGGGCAGGTGTGTGGGCAGGGGACAAGTGAAGTCCAACAGGTAGGGCAGGTGTGTGGGGAGGGGACAAGTGAAGTCCAACAGGTGGGCCAGGTGAGTGTGGGGGTGAATGAAGAGGCAGGTGGGGTCAGACAGCTTGGTCAAGAGAGGGTAAGAGTGGAAGAAGGTGTGAGTGGGGTTCAGCAGGGGGTTCGGGGGGGTGAAGGAGGGCCAGAGGAGCTGGAAAAAAAATAGAGAAGTTCTCTCGCACTGCTCGGGAGGGCGTGAGCAAGAAGGGTAGTGGGAGATACAGCCAGCAGGAAGTCTTCTGGATGACGAAGATCATCCTGAAGCTAAATAGAGGAAGCGAAGGTGCTTCTGTGGACTGAGAGCGGCGTCCATCCGGTGGAGGAGGAGGATCCTGGTCGGCTGACGAAAGAGGAGATGCGGATGGAGTCTTGTTTGTGCGTTTTTAAAGAAAATAAAGATTTTTAAAAATCAATCTCTCTCTCATTACGTCCAATCTGTGTAAGTGGCTCTAACAACAAAAAATGCGTGACAGGATCATCGATCGACGCTAACGGCCACACACAAAACCAGGAATTTTTGTCGTGGCGCAGGGGTAGAGAGGGTGCTCTGGGAACCGGTAGTTCGAGTCCCGGCTGCCCCAAGTCAAAGTGTCCCTGAGCAAGACGCCTAACCCCTAATTTCTCCCCGGCAGAAATGTAAAAAGCCACAGCTTAAAAACACGTCTCCGTTGTCGTGGTGAGGCGGGGGGGTCCGGACCCCGTGACCATGGCCCGAGGTGTGCAGTGTTCCAGCGCTACGATAACCACTGTATTGCTTAATCAGGTTGTTCCCTTGGAGGGTCGTTGAAACTCACTCTAATCTTTAATCACGGTGCCTTTCTCATCACGGGCTTAAGAGAAGACAGATGCGCGCTGCTGGTTGTTTAGTGTGGTAATTATTTAAATTGGAGCCCCGTGCAAAGCAGAAAGCGGTGGCAGCGTGTGATGGGAGCGAGCCCGGCTCCCTCAGATCAAACGATCGGGGTCTCTGGAGAATGACATCACCGCCCGCAAGCAGCCATTTCCGTGGAAAATTCTGCAAATTAAACCTGTCGACCGGAAAGTACAACAATGCTCACATTTCATTGCACGGAGCCGGTTTTAATGAGACAGGTGTCCCCGGGACGCCCCACACGTTTGATGTTTGCGTCTTTGAGGTTCCCATCCGACTGAAGCCGGACGGCTGAAGAGACTCACATCTCCTCATGTGGCTCACATGAAACTCTCAGCATGGTTATTCATTAGCATCATTTGGAAAAGGTAGGGCCTGCTCCAGAGCTCTGATAGAATAAATTGGGTGGCGGTGGGGGGGTCACATCACATTTTGAAATTGAATAAATACAGTAATTTCCTGTTTATGGATTTCCATTATTTTTCAATCTTTCTGAGGAACCTCTCCCCACTGCCTTCCTCTCCCTCTCCGTCTCCACTCTGAAGTCAGATGGATTGATGCTGTTGTGAGGAGGTCATTCGATTATTCGGTGTGTGTTGTGTGTTCTGATGTGTGTGCGTCCCGCTGTGATGTGCACTTTCCCCAATACGACAACGGCAGAAGGCAATAAACGAGAGCCACCTTGTTCCTATCTGCTGCCTTGCAACCGGCCCGCCCCCCGGCAACATGGGGTGGGGGGGGGCACCTACAATGCATCACGTGGCATCACGGACCGTCCAGGTCTGTGGACAGAAGACGTAGTTCATGACGTCGTCCCCCAGGAAAGCGTTTAACGGGAAAAGCTACGTTTGTGATCTGTCCATATTTTACGTTTACCGAACATGGAAGGTCTGAAGAACAAGTTGGGGGGAAAGCCGTTAATATAGAGAGATTACAGATTGTTGGGCATTTTGAATATAACAAGAATAAGCGGTATAACTCCTCTCAGCCTTATTGCTATGAAGTGCCAGAAGAACACGAGTACACAATTCCAGTGGATATGACAGATGAGTAATAGACCCAAGAAATGAAAGAAATCTCATCCACGCAACGAAACAGGACCATCGGCATCGTGGAACCCGGAGACCCACAAGACAGTCACGTGCACGCTAGCATGCTGTCTGGACCCCGGACCGCACTTTCTATTTGAATGCCTGTTATTACCCCGTCACGGGGGGGAGGGGGACGCCCTAAAGCACAAACGCATTTCCCTCGGACGATTTTCCAGAGTTTGTAATTGCCGAAGCAATTGTTACATAAGAGGAGCTCGAGGAACGAGGGGCGGCCCGCTGCCGCTAATATCTTAATCTGCCGAGTGGAAAACGCCGTCTCCTCCTTTGTGTCTGCCGGGACTCCCTGTGAAGTTTCCAGCCCGCGGGTAACAGCTGACAGCGATCTGCCTGCGAGTTGTTAGCGCCTCATGTCGCCGTCGTTCCACCAGGACAAAGTGATTCAACACCAGAGGACACAATGCTGCTCCGCGCGGTGCGATTCACCCGCTCACATTTAAACAATCACTCACACAAAACGCTTCCAGCTCATCGTGGTTGACGGCCGTTGGTCCGAGGCATCGTACGTGTATAAAAAGCCCCTGAACTCAACCAGGTGTGTGCAGGGCCCGTCAGCAGGGGCAGGTGTTAGCTAGCTAGCCTGCTGCGCTAATGCTACTCAGGTAGGAACGGGGCTCAGGAGGAAAAGCTTTACAGCAAATGAGGAATTCCCTCAACAGGGAGGGTGGAGGTGACGGCGGTCAGTGAAGGGTGTGCGCGCAGTAATGAAATTATTACCAGAAACAACATTCTTGTGTTGGCAAAAAGTGTGCGTGTGTGCACGTGTGTGCATGTGCTTAACTACAAACTGCCTGCGTGAGGCACGAAAACTGTTCATTTGTTCTGTTTGTTTGCATTCAGAGTGCATTTGTGCCAGTGGTGTGTGTGCTAAGTGGACAGCATACAATTACAATCCCCGTGTCACCGAGCGTGTGTGTGTGTGTGTGTGTGTGTGTGTGTGTGACTGACAGTATGTATGGGAATGAGCTTGGACTTATTGGAGAAGCCGGCAGACTGCAGGCAGATTAATTGAAATGAGATCCTCACAACGCAGCAGTCACTCCGTCAGGAGCAAATCCCACACACACACACACACACACACACACACACACACACACACACACACACACACACACACACACACACACACACACACACATGCCATCATGGATGCTTCTCTGCTGAGGAGGCACTCGTGCAGAGCTGCACCGTCAGACTCGACAGGTTATTTGAAAGCACAAACACGCATACACACACTGTCACACCAGCACTGACGAGCGCACACACACACACACACACACACACACACACGATGCTCAGGATAAAACGAATTCTCACCGCACAGACGTCCAACCCTCCCAAAAAGGACGTGCTCGAGCTCTCCCTGCTGTTTTCTCTTCTCCGGCTCGCCTGACAAACAAGGCCCTGGAAAAGGCCAGCGCTGACGGGCGTATTATCCAGCCCTCCAACACAGCGTGTGCGCGTGTGTGCATTCGTGTGTGTGTGTGTTGTGTGTCTGTGGATGGACAAGCCTGTCTTCCACAAAATTGCCTTCCCACACTGCTCAATTACACTTCAAGGGGAAACCTCTCTTCTCCTGGATACGGTTGCAGGTTAATATAATAAAACAAAACGCACTACAGAACCACTTTGGCCTGAATGACGAGCAAATGCACAAACGAACCTCAGAGGAAGCACTTGTTTGCATCATCGATGGTTTTGGGACCCGTCCTCCTCCCACTGACTCATTTCAACAAAGATTTTGTACTTTTCAGGAGATAATTGATTGTAATCCTGAATATTTACAGATAATTGGTTCTCCCGGTTGGATAAAGACTGTGCTGTTAGTTTATTTAAATATGAGGTCCCTGCAGATCCAAAGGCTTCTTCTGTTCTTCTCAAATCTTATCTAGCATGTGTCTCCTTTTTGTTTTTTTGCAGTCGGACAGATCAGAAGAACCCATGACAACTCCAGATGTGACATTCACATTGAGCAACTTCACACCAACACACACAGCGTTTTTAACAAAAATGGGAAGCGCCGATAATAAAGACAGTTGAGCAAAAAGAAAGCATTGGTTGTACAGAGAAACAAACACATGACAGAAAGCATGAAGTACACTGAGGCTTTGAGACACTTAGTTCATTTCTACAGATGTTTGGTTCCTCTCGTCTGCACATGAACTCAACGTTTTGGCACTTTTTAAGACCACGTGTGTCTGTAAACGCGGATATAAAGAAGTCCATATTTTGTGTGGGCAGGTGTGTGTGTTCTGCATGGAGAAGTACATGGTGTGCGTGTTGTCACATTTCATGTCCATATAGTGTAACTAATCTATTCAAACACGTACAGTATATTCATTGATTCTCTACATTAGTGTGTGTGTGTGCGCGTGTGATTGTGTTAGAGTGTGCGTTTGTCACAGTTGGCCTCCGGTAGAAACTCCTCCACTTCAGTTGTTTGTTGGACCCACACAAGGACCCCCTCCGTCCTCAGTCTTTGCCATCCGGGGGGGTGGGGGGGGGGCGGTGAGTCACATGACCAACGCATCGGGTCAATAGACACGTAAACGACTCGACAGACAGACGTCATTGTTCACGGTTGGAACGCGGTTCTGCTTCCTGTTTAGGGCGAGTGAAACTAGCCAGGACCCTCGTCAGCTCGGCTGGTCTCACGCTGACGGGTCGCCGGTTCCATTTCCTCTCCGCCGTTACAGTTGGATACAAAAATGTCAAGGAGGGGCATCTCGGAAAGGAAAAAAGGTCTTTTCTTCTAGACAGAGCCAAAGAGTCATCGACGTCCTGTCCTGTCACTAATATCAAGTGTGAAATTCACTCAAGGAGAGAACCCCTCTGCCGAGGTATCTGCCGTGTCCATGGACGGCTAAATCTAAAGCTCCCAGGGAGAATTGGAAACGGCACAAGCACGCATATCGTCAGACGAAAGCCGTGTGAATTTGTGCACATTTGAGGTCGTCTGCAGGTAAACATTTACATGACTCTGGCCAGTTTGTGTAGGAATTATCTGCGCCGTCACAGTTGGCCACCTTTCTGAAACTTACCGCCTGCTTCATTGGTCCAGTGAGCTTCTTGAAGAAGCGCCGAGTCCCTCAAACTGGAGGTTCTCCTCTCATGATCGAGACCTTTGGCTCTGCCTACCGAAATTCACCACAGATGGAGACGAGTCCTCCCCCGAAGGTACAGCAGCAGTCCAGTCACGTGGATAAAAACTGAACACAGTGTACTGTACCACAATTGAATTAAAAAGGGCAATAATTGGCACATTATTGTCTTCATAAGGCATTGGAAGAAATGCAGTATGTAAATTAAACTACAGAACTCTCCAGGAGAACATCTTGAATGAAGAAGCTGGAACATAAATGTAGCCGTTTATCTCTGTAGTGGAAAACAGGACGTCCCTCCCTGTACCATCGTAGCACAAACATAAGTATCCTCACATTGCACCAAACTGCAGCTGTTGAAATGTATCTGATGTGAAAGGTAGTATATTTTACATAAATATGTTATTATGTTAAGCTGAACAGGGGGAGATTTTTAAATGGGGATAAAGTTGTATGTTAAATATCTGGGGACATTCTGCTGGGTTTCTGTCCCTGTACAGACACTGAACTCCAAGAGACTTGTTAATGGTGAGGGAGGAAGGGGACAATGTTTCCGTGCTTACAGCACCAAAGTCCATGTTTCCACTGAAAACCTTTCCCGTGTGTATTCACAGGTTTAATGAAACCGGGACAAAGAGACCTCCCTGCCCTTCCCGGGGAACCGTTGCATGTATACGGTTTTTCTGCCAAAGGTCTGCATGGAGAGCAGGTGCAACTCCAAAAGCATCATGACCCTTCATTGGTGTTTTTTAATGAGCCTCAAGTGAAATGAGTCCCCGAGGCCGGCAGCAATATTGTCTAGAAGAGTGTGAAACCTACATGAATTATCCGCACTCGTTCTTAGATGAACAAAAAGCGGGTTGCCTCCTCGCCAGAGATGTTCCGGTCAAAGCAGCAGTTAATTACAGAGACCGTTATTCTCACGTTAACTCATTTCTCTGTAGACTCTTTGTAAGCCATGAGTTGGATGGATGGTTTTATGATTTTGTTCAAAGCAGGATGCAGGATCACCGGTTCCAAAGGTCCTCTGGGAGTCACTGCTGTGGACTGAGAAGGTTTGACTCCTCAGAGACTGCCACGGGTTGTACCGTCTCAATTTGTCCCGATCATGTTTTCCTCTGGAAGCCTGCCACTGTCAGCCATCGCCTCACATTGATTCATCATTGCTGTTAATTGGGCCGCCTGGAGGGGAAGCACACGTGCGGTCCCTGCGGCTCCGCCACTGTACATCCTTCAGTCTCAATTTGAGGACTCTGGCTCCTGAGGGCTGGAGTCAGCCTTCCCTCATTGGTTGCCCAGTGAAACATTAAAAAAAAAACATTGTGTGGATGAATACATACTAAGGAAAGAATATGCAAACCGAGGAAGAGGAGCAAGGCTCGGCGGTGTGGTACTGTAGCGGTGAGCTGTGGCTTTACAAATTTAAGTAAAAGTATTTGGGTTTAAATGAGAATTCCGGACCATTGGACAGAGATGAATAGAGCTCTCTAGTTGGACACACCCTTGAAAAACCCTGTAGGCCAAGTAATTCGGTAACCCCGACACTATTCCCCCCACTCTCAAATCTCAAATGAAGCCATGCCGTTATTTAAATAGCTCATGGGTGCTGCTCCAAAACTAACGGACTGATTCTGTGGACGTAACCTGTACGGGAGCCGCCGGTGGAATTTGAACAATGGGCCAAAATAGAAAACTGGGCTGTTTAGAACAACTGAAAGCTGTCCGACTGAGCGCCATGGGGAGATTGCTCTGTCTTTTTATTTGGTCTCACCCACCAAAATGAAGTCCTATTGATCCGATAGCAGAGTAATGAAGCTCTTTCGACATCCCATTGTGAGCGCTGGTGGGTCTAACGGATCGCCTGCCACGGATGACAGAGAGAGGTCAGAGGGGAAGCCATCATTCCCGTCAAACACAAATGAACAACAGAAAGCTGAACAGTGTGGCTGCATCACTACTGCAGAAATAAACGGTTGGCTGATGCAAATTTAAAACATTATCTCTTTAAGTCCTTGAGGTAAAGCGGCTCAGATAGTTTACTGCTGAGGTGAAGCTCTCGGGTTCTCACAGCAACTAAACATTATTATTAAAAAAATGATCCTGGTTATCAAAGGTAACAGACGTTGCTGTGAAAAGGTTCCTTGGGAAATAATGCATTATGTCTTCTTTTACTGTCTGCTGACATCCTGAAGAGAGACCCATTTTGTAGAGGGAGGTCATTGTAGGTCAGAGAGTAAATTCCACCATCCGCTTCCACACAACTCACACCTGAAAAAAGACGGGTGAATTCAAGCTGTGTCGCCACGATGATTTTCAAGTTCTACCCGTGGGAAATCAAATAGAGATAAGTGACCTCCGTTAGACTGGTCCTTCCTGAGCGATAAAGAATAGCGCCCAGATGCTAGATCCCGAACCAGCTCATCTCCGCCCACTGAAAACCTGCAGAGACAAGTTGATGAAGTCTGATCTAGGGTTCTGTTTTTACTGAGGATCACTCGTGTCTGCAAGAGAAGGAGGCAGAACAGAAAGGTTGCACCCAGCAGGTCTAAGAATGAAACGAGAGAGGCAGTGAGGAAGGCCGCCGCCGCCGTTAATTTCAATCAGGCTCCCCGTTGAGTTAATAAAATCAGCACGCTTCTCTGACCTCAGATGATGCTTTGGCATCAACCTCCGCAAATGACTCATTAATTTACCCCATTAAGTTAGACAGAGGTGGCGCGCAGGGGGAAAAACACGGAGGGGAGTGAATTAATTAGGCGTTTTAAAATACATTTCATACCTTATTTTGATGGAGATGTTTCCCATTACAGAAAGAGAGGTCAGGGTAGAAGGGCTTGGGTTAGGAATGCTGGCCAGGAAAGAAGTACAGCTGAATCTTGATGCATGAATATCATTTACATGAATGATAAGTACTAATCATCTGCATTTGTGCCACTTGTGTATGAGTACGTTCTTTGCATGAATGCAAGAAAAACAAAACGTTTGATAAGCATGTTGTATGGTTTGTAATAGTACCAAGCCTCGCTCCGCTTCCTTTCCACGGACTTCATTGCCACACCCATGAAATTCAACCCAAATGTTACAAAAGAAACCAAAAATCTACCCAGCCAATTATATTCTCAGCTATTGTCTCTGCATTTTTTTCTATTAACCACTAAAAAGAGAAAGACCAATGCAATAAATATAACAGGAACTTGTGAAACACACCTCTGAAGGGCACTTCGGTCCGTGTCAGGCTGCAGCCCGGAGCAACGTGGGCTCATACTGAGTCATGCCGTCTGAGGTGGAGTATATGCCTCAGGCCTTCACTCCGCTTACCATCAATTGCATCTCCCTGTGTACTGGAGGGAGCATTTGACATATTCGGACTTTGTTGCAACCTTGCCTTGAGCAGACACAAGGGCCGTATATGGTCTCCTGACTACTTGCATGCTCAAAATGAGGTGCAGCAACCTCTAACCTGCTCTCAATACGCCACTACTAAAAAATGTAATTACCAGCTACTTTAATATAGGAGCACATAACACCTGTCTTGCCACCTTGCACAACCCATGCGGCGTGACCCACACTATTGAAATGTAGATTTCCTGGCTCATAGCTTCCCACATCAAAAGAAATTTGCTGCACCTGTAAAATAGGAAATGGGCTGGGAGGGAAAAAGGCCTGCAGCTCTTGAAGGGTCTTACCTCCCGTTATCTGGATAGACAGACAGGCGGGTTGGGCCAAACATATTCCTGTACACTCATACACACAGCTCCCCAACCGGACTCGTATCTGTATGCAAAGCATCTCCACTAAGCTATCCACTTTACAAGACAGAGGCTGAGAACAATGGGCGACCCAGCCACAACCCCTGTTCTCCCAGCCCACACACAGTCACTCACGCCGGCATGCACGAACTATACGCCCTCACACGGGGGGACGTATGCAGTTAGGTGTTTCGAATCGATAAGCATGCTCGACACACACCCTCCCCGACCGACTCGTACACTGGCTATTTCTCAGGAAGAACAATTAGTATCATTTAATGTCCTCCAAAGAGGGGGATTCAGGCTACTTTAAAACAAACGCACCTAATTCCTCATCCTGCTCCCTCCCTCATTATCTCCCTAAATGGTGCTTCTATAGGAGAGCAGGTGTTGCGGTGCAGTGAAATGATTGTTTTGTGAAAGAAGGTTTGATGGGATTAGAACCGAGGAGAGAAGGTGTGTGTGTGTGCTGGGGGGAGGTGGGGGTGTGTATGATGAGGTAGAAGACATTGCTCGTTACCACCTTTTCTTTGCTCATTAGTGGGGATTCAGCGGGCCTACGGAAGCCTGTTAGGACCAAAGTGCCCAGTAAGAGCTAGAATGCTGAACAATTATCTCTCTTACATATCATATTGTGCTGAACACAGCCAACCTCAGAAACAACATCTCAAAACATCAATGAATTGTTATAGAATCATTTTCATTCCAAATCACCCAGGGAGTACCTCCTTAACTCTGGATCTCAGCAGGACAATGAGCCAGTCAGTGGAAACGTCACCATCATCGTCCATCTTGCTACAATAAAATCTAGTCCTAGTCCCTCTTCCATTGTCTGATGTTGGCATCCAACCTCACATTCTTCCTGACAGCATTTAACTCAGCGTCCTCTGCTCACAGCTTCTGCTGGGCAGAAACTCCCTTCCAGTAGTCCAAAATATCATGAAGGTCCTCGTCCTTGGCAAACTGCACCTTCTTGCGCAGGGCGTGGCCTGCTGCTATATACGATGCTTCTTCCCTGGGACTCTTCTTGTAAGGTCGGAATCTCTCCCAGATCCGCAGTGTGCTCTCAGACGAATACTCAGGGCTGGAGGAGTAGCCAGAGCTGTAATTGTGGTGGCGAGAAGGTGAGAGCTGGGAGTAGGCGGCTGTGGCGTCCCTCTTGGTGCGGCCCAGTGGCTTGAGGAAGGAGACCTTTTGGGCCGATGAGGGCGAGTCGTTGCCACCCTCGTAGTACAGCGCAGGAAAAGAGTGCCGGTGCTCGGAGCTGTGGTAGTCCGGCTGAACCTCCAAGTGATGCTGCTGCAGTCCAGGGCCAACACCCGCACCTGCACCTCCACTACCGTTACTACACCCCAACCCATCCCCATTCAAACTCACTCCACCGCCATTTATGTTTCCCATCCCGTTCCCGTTGCAGCCCCCTACTCTGCCCTTTCCTGCATTTCCACCCCCTCCGCTACAACCGACGGGGCTGCCTTTTTCTGTTGGGTACTTGGGCGGATCACTGCGCTGCTCAGGGATATCGACACTGTACACCCTGTTGCTCTTGAGCGGTCCTGCAGGCGGGGCACCACAACGGTTCTTCACCACTGAAGTGTCGGCGCTCAACTGCCTCTGGAGGGGCCGCACTGCATTAGCCGGGGGTGGGTCACGGTATGGAGGGGAGAGGAACCCCCCACCGCTGATGCCTGGCCGCTCAGAGAGAGGCATGACAAGGGGCACCGGCGCCATTGAAGGTGGGTGAGGTTGCTGATGGAGCTGAGGATGAGGATGTGGCTGAGGGTGAGGCTGGGGGTGAGTCTTTGGATGCACCTTTGGAGAGGAAGCCATGATCTGATCTCCAAGGTGACCTGGAGAGAGGGGCAAGAGGTTGCGGGGGAGGGACGCAATGCAAGTTTGCGGCTGGGAGGAGGGTGCAGGGTTGCCATTGTCAGCCGTGGCTACAACATTAGCAGAGGCGTCCAGCTTGAGGGCATCGATGCAGTTGTTGATGATCTGGTTCACCTTGTCCACCTCCTTGGCGATAGTGGAGATCTCCGATGCTGAGCCACGGCCATCGTCATCTGAATCCTCCCTCGCCTCTGTCCCATTCTCAGCAGCTCCTCGCCTGTCCGCAACTACTTCCCCTCCGATCACTGCTCCGACAGCTCCCAGCCCAACCTCCCTTCCTTCCCCTGCCACTCCCGCCGTCCTCACATCCATGTAGTTGCCCTTGCCACCCATTGCCTCAGAGAAGGCGCTGGCCATTTTTTCCACCTGTGGCAAGGTCGAAAGGCGGGACGAACTGGTGTTGGCGGAACCGTGGAGCATGCCTGTGCTAGAAGAGGCAGACGGGGGCAGCTTGCCTCCTGCTCCTCCTGAATGGTGGTGCTGGTGATGAGCTTGATCCTGGAGACGCTGCATGGCGCCAGGGTCATTAGCCACAGCAGCAGCCGCCTCAGGACCGTACCTGAAGAATAACAGATTCACGCGATAATTACACACAGTTTCGTTTTCTGATCTAATATTGTTTATATTGTTTTCTACATTATCCTAAACAGCAGGGTTGCAAAATTGTTGAACAGTATCCTCTGACAAGTGTAATATGTCTTCTCTGTGATTCCATGGGCTGACAGAATCCTCGCTGTTTTAATTAAAGCAACTGTGGTTCGAGGAAAATTATTTTAAATTCCAGTGGATGGTACAACAAATCATTGTAATTGCAAAGGATTATAATCGGGCCCTTAAGACAACAAACATTAAAACTTAACATTAAAACTAGTACCTCATCTCCAAAATAGTTTTCTTCACACAAATAGCCTTCTGCTTCTCTTCCTGGATGCGTCGCCGTCGGAGACAGTAGTAGACCAATCCGAGCACAATGACCATGCCAAACAGACATCCCAAGATGGTCATGATGTAGTGGGTAGTTGTGGATGGATTGACTCGCGGGTCCTCTGGTCCCATCGCCCGTGTGGTAAAGGACAGACAGGTGTGATTGTAGTGTTGGGATTTGCTTACGGAAGCCACACAATAGGTGTAGTTTGTGTGTGGTTTCAATTTGTCCAAAGTTAGTATCTCCTTCTTTTTTTTAAGGGGCTTGATGTCTTCACCAAAACTGTGGTTATACTGTGACAGGATGTACATCTTACTGTACGGCCGCGGGATCTGCACCATTAGGGTAGCGCTGTAGAGGGAAACGGTTTGAAGCTTCATGGATATCTGATGGGTGTAGGTGGGGTCAGCAGTGGACGATATGGTCGGTTGGTGGTACAGACCTTGGTCGGGGTTGTCGAAGCCCAGGCCAGATCCATCTTGATCTGGTGTCTGGGAAGTCATCCCTGGTATTATCACACCATCCCGGCACATGGATAAAAGAGTGTAACGGGCATTTCTTCCGTGTCCGGGCACCGGGCTCAGAAGAGGGTAGCCGTTCATTTCCAGAGGGGTCTCGCACTGGAGGCGGTCGTAGGTGTGCGTGACGTTGTTAAACGCCTCCAGCCAGGTGAGGAAGCTGAAGAGGTCACAGCCACAGTGAAACGGGTTTCCTGCCAGCTCACACACCAGCAGCCTGTTGAGGACGGTGAAGGTAGACGGGTCCAGACGGGCCAACTTGTTGGAAGACAAGTCCAGGCTGCTGAGGCTCGGGCACTCCCAGAAGGCGTTGGTGGCAATGACCTCAACAAGGTTGTGTTGGAGAAAGAGGCACTGCATTCGACCCAGACCTCTCAGCATGCCCTCAGTCAGGTTGGTCATCTTGTTGTAGCCCAGCTGGAGGACCTGAGACAGAAAGAGAATTTCCTCCTTCAAATTCTTTACAAAACAAGACTCATCACAACTAATTGCTTTCATCTGGCGGAGGTTCTGTCTACGGTTGGCTCAGACAATTTCCTGCTGTGGGATTTTTCACCACCACTAGACACAAACATCAGACTTCAAATTTCTATAAACATTGAGTGTAAATTGAGTTTTTGTTTCAATGTTTTCAGAATTTATTTGCGGCTCAACTCCAGACTAATGTTCAGCATTGTGTACTAATAAGAAAGAAGTGCCTGTAAATTCAATTTGACTCAATTTAAATAAATCATGAAATAAATGAAGATATATTATAATGGCAACACATGGCATGTTGGTGTAAATGAGGAACAAAGTTGTGTTCTCTGACCTGTAGGTTGGCCTGTCCAGCAAAGGCCCCGTCCTCGATGTAGCTGATCTCGTTCTTGGTGAGATTTAGGTCCGTGAGGTTGGTGAAGCGGTACATGGAGGTGAAGAGCACAGCCTTGAGTTTGTTCTCATTCAGCCTCAGATCGTGGACCTGTGGGAGACGAGAGAGAGAGGCTGACTTTGGGTCGTGCCTACCGATCTGGGAGCTAAGTAGGAAAGCCTGCGCTCTTTGACAGATGCCTATTGCAGCGCACTTGTGACGAGTAAATCCCCCCAATTGGGCGTCGGGTCACGATCTGTGTTTTTAATCCGTCTGTTTCACATGCAGCGGAGCATCTCACCTGAGATGTAGTCTAGCCGCGGTGAGTGTTGATGCTGGTGGCGCCGCTGGTTAATATTAAAGCACCCAACACTTTCATTTCTGATCATTATCGCTGTAAAATGCAGATGGTGAGTGACTTGGCTCCTTTTTCTCAAACAACAGTAGCTCGTATGACTTTAAAGTTGTATGGAAAGCAGAGCTGGGCTACGGTGAGGCTCTGAGCTTTGTCTTGTCCGCTGCAGATTGTGCAGCGCTTCATATTGAGATTGCAATGCTTAAATAGCATCACCACAAAACTCTTTGGTTGTTGTAAGTCTTCTACATTAGCAGTTAATCCTACAGTCTTCATCACAGACACATGAGAATCTTTCCGTCACTGGGGAAGCCGGCAGAATGATTGGATGGATTATCACAACATTTGGTAACGCTTTATAATAAGGTCCTTGTAATAACCATTAATTAAGAGGTAATAAGGCCCTTGTAAGTCCTTATAAGATGCTTATTACCTATTAATTAATGGTTATTACAAGGACCTTAATATAAAGCGTTACCCAACATTTCATTAAGAAGATGCAGCATGCATTGCTTTGAAGCCTTTTGAATATTGTATTACAGTCACCGTCCTATTAATCACTTTAATCAACACATCATCACAACCATCACAAGCCCCCAATAAGCCGCAAACATTATTTTACTCGCCGTGCAAAACACAAGATTCACTGGAAGCTCTTCGAAAGCCACCGATGCTGTTAATGGCATGTGCTCTTTAGCCGACACGTTTTAGCTCCGAGCGCATGAAGACACGCGGTTCATTAGTGCCGCTGTGCAGGAGGCCTTCGGCGGGATGAGTTCTTACTGACCGTGCTGTTGATGTGCTGGGGGATGGTCTCGTACGGAGGCTGGTTCTGACTGCAGATAGCCAGCCACACGTAGCCTTTATCCCCTTCAATCAGCCAGCAGTCCCCCTCCACGGCGGCGGGCAGGTGGAGGAGCAGCAGCGCAGGGAGCAGGAGGGGGAGCCAACGGGGGGACGAGCCGGGTCTGCTGGCCATGGTTGGGATGAAGAGCGTTTGAGATCGCCTCAGTAGAGAGGAGGGAGAGAGAGGAGGGAGGGAGGGAGGGAGGGAGGCAGAAGTTCTCAGACAGGAAGGGCGGCGGGTCAGCGGCGAGCGGGCCGAGTCCGAGTGGAGAGAGCGGCGTGAACGGAACGAGTTACAGCTGAGCCTGCAGCATGGCGCCAAGTCCTTTCCCCATTTTAGGTGTTCCACGTCAGAGGGTTTTGGAAACTGTCTCCCCAGCAGCTACTCATGGCCTCTGACAGCCGCACGACTCGACAACGCTGATGGGGAAATAATCCCTGTGAGAGAAAGGCAGAGAGGGCGGGGGGGCGGATGTCTACATTAATAGAGATAATGATGATATCGCTCTTATAACACTGAATGGTTCCGAATGATGTAAAAGAGAAAGGAGTGTGAACCTGATCCCAATGCGTCCCAATCCCTTCAAGCTGGTAAATCAATTAACTGACATGGTTCTTTCACCATTAAAAACCCAGCAAATATAGTTTGACATTTCAAATGAAACCACGTTTCTATGATGAGAACGAACCGCAGCAACACGATGAAAGCAACGAAAGCTTCCTTTGGTTCTGCCGTCGTTCACGAGGCTCGCCGGCTTGCAGCCCGGCTTCTTTTGTTTGGACTTGGAGGTACATAATGAAACAGGGAAAATCTGGGGGGGGGCTGGAAGTGGAAGGCAGTTGTAATTTGCATGTTTAACAGAATACTAGCTGACATTTAGCTATTTACCTCTCTCGGGGGATTAACGGTGGATTAGGCTCTAATCCAGCATAAAATGTGAGGTTTCTCATGGCCGCCGCTCACACTCTTTTAATTTGTTTGCAAAGTTTTGATTCCCTCCGAGGAGAAAAGTTATCGAGCCACGACCTGAATGGCAGGTGGAAACCACTGAGGGGTAGAACCTTCTTAACGTGACATCAGCCCCCGTCGGTTTGGAGTTTCTGTTTGACTGAGGACAATCGTCTCTGTCTTTGACTTGTAGGTGCAGATCTGTGACGAGTGACTGGGGCCAACGGGATGAGCCACCTTCACCCTCTCTCACCTTCTGGCACCAGAACCTGCTCTGGACCCAAACATTACCTTGGTCTCTACCAAGTTATAAACCGTTAATTTAAAGTTTTTGTGTCGAACTTTGTGTCGTGTCCGTCGTTATCTTGCAACTTGCCAGCCGGCTGCCAACTTTGCATATTGGAGCCTTTTTGTATCTTTTGTATAAATGCAACAAAAAGCATTTTTATTCAGTGAATTACAGACATACTGTAAATATAAATATGCTGCTTTCATCAGAGGGACACCGGCTCCATCACCTTCAGCGATAGAAAGACTCCGCCGACATCCATTCAGACAAAAATCCTCCCGATTGCCACTTTAAGTAGCTTCTACGTCTCAATCTACAAACACGTTTCCCTTTTGGCTTTTCAGCTCATCTCTGCCAGATGAAGGAAATATAATATATATGTAGTGGGAAGTAATGGAAGTCAGTTAAACCGGCCAACCCCGGAGAGCCCGTCCTTCTCCCCTCGTCCTCCGTCTCGCTCAGCCCCCCCGGTCACTTCTCATCGCTGCAGAAAACTCACCCCGACGCGTCTCTCCGTCCTCTCCTCAAGTTCCTCCTTCAAATTGGTATCGACAATTCAATTCCTCCACCCAATTTAACTTTTGACCCGGCGCTATTGTCACGGTCTCTAAAGGCTGGTGTCCCCTCGCCACCTTGATGATTACTAAAGTCTCTCTTTAATAAAGTCTTGTGCGTTCATCAGGGTGTGTGTGTGTGTGTGTGCGAGCGTTGAGATGAGGAGGAGCGAGGGAAATGGATTATGTATGAACGGAGGGATTGGACGGTGATCTCCTCTCGCGTCCTGCTCCTGGATTCCTTCTTTTCTCTCACTTTGAAGACACCTTCAGGCATCCGTCTCCTTGTGTAGAAGGAAAGCGCCGGCCTCTGGCTCTACTTGAGAAGATGGTCCGGACTCTGGAGACGCTTCCTCGGCACAGGGCTCGTTTTAATTTAAAGACGCTGTGATGACCACAGCAGTCCGGGCTCGTCTCATCGCGCTGTCTCTCGGCTGTCTCCTCCTTCTTTCTTCTGCCGGCTTTTAGGTCGGGTTTTTTTTTTCTCCGCTGCCTTTCAAGTAGAAACACAAATGAAGATGCTTCATCGCCAAAACACAAGCTGACACCCTTTGCGTGCCATCTCATCCCCCTGCTTGCTGCTTTCATCACATTCTTGCCATTGATTTCATTTTGTCGAGGAGCCAGCGATGAGACAGCCTTCATTTTTTTTCCTCCTCCTTTTCTCCTCCGAACTGGGCTCCCTTTGTGCTTAATTATCATCCCCGATAGCTCGGCTTAATTAAGGCTTTGCATGTGAAAAACAACACTAATGATGTCAGGTCACAGGAACAAATGGAAGGTTCCCAAAGTATTTCTGGGAGAAAAACAAGGGTGTTTGTCCTCGTTGGCAAAGGGGACAAGCTCTTAGAGTTGAAAGTAATAATGTGTAGTTTCATTCCTATCGAGCGCTGATACTACAGTCAGTGGTACATTGGAAACTCTAAACTACATCTTCTTCACGATTGATAATAATCCACAAGATCTACAATGTCATCTTCAGAAAAGCTCAGAGCGGCTTTGATCTGCAGGAGAAAAGTCGGAACGCTGGAACACTTTTATTGAAAAAGCACAAAGATTCCGTCTGAAGGCTTTGAAGGCTTATCAGGGCAGAACAATATTGCTTCTTTTACCACTTTGTGTTTTAGTTACAGGATTCTGCAGGATTCATGTTAAGAGCACACAATGTTTCCTAGATTCACTTCTGTGTAGTTCATTAATAGTTTTACTCTACTTTTCATTTTACATTAAAACCCTTTTCTCTTCGTTTAAACAGCTGTTTGATGACTCGTGTCTGGTTTGACCTTTACATCATCGAGCGACACCCTCAGACGGGTGTTTGTCTCTGTGCACAATGTCGTTCGATAGATGCCATCTCACTTATAACCTCGTTCCACAGGACCGATCGTCCACCATCCAGTGTGATTCCAACCTTCTCAGTGAACTCAGTGGGACAAAAATGTCTTCCCAGATAATTAAAGAACACACTTTTTTTGCTTTAAACATTTAAGTAATTTGGATGCTCTGTTTCTTTTTCACGCGAGCGTCCAGCTGAGATTCATGGCTGCGATAAAGGAAAACATTATAAACCACTTTGAACCATCAAACCATCCAGCATCCATCTTCTGTCTGACAGCAATCACTCCAGTCCATCAGTCCATCAGTCAGCAGGCCAACCAGCCAACCAGCCAACCAATCAGCCAACCAACCAACCAACCAATCAGCCAACCAACCAACCAACCAACCAACCAACCAACCAACCAGCCAACCAGCCAACCAACCAACCAGCCAACCAACCAACCAACCAATCAGCCAACCAACCAATCAGCCAACCAACCAACCAACCAACCAGCCAACCAGCCAACCAATCAACCAGCCAGCCAACCAACCAACCAATCAGCCAACCAACCAATCAGCCAACCAACCAACCAACCAACCAATCAGCCAACCAACCAATCAACCAACCAATCAGCCAACCAACCAACCAACCAACCAACCAACCAACCAACCAGCCAACCAAACC